CGCGTGCGCCCCGCGCCGCTCGCCCGGGTGGCTGGGCTGCCGCTGCACGTGCGGGTTGCGCAGGGCCACGCTGATGTCCGTGAGCAGCCGCGGCAGCGGGCCCAGCTTCAGCAGCGCCTCCTGAAGGAGCCAGGGCTTGGTGTCCCCAAAGGTGTCCCCAGGGAGGAACCCAGGGCTTGGGATCCCTCAAGAGCTCCCCAAGGAGGAACTGGGGTCTTGGGATCCGCCAAGAGCTCCCCAGGGAGGAACCTGGGTCTTGGTGTCCCCAGACATCTCCCCAAAGAGGAACCCAGGGCTTGGGATCCCCTAAGAGCTCCCCAAGAAGGAACCTGGTCTTGGGATCCCCAAGGAGGAACCTGTGTCTTGGTGTCCCCAAAGGTCTCCCCAGGGAGGAACCCAGGGCTTGGGATCCCCCAAGATCTCCCCAAGGAGAAACCGGGGTCTTGGGATGCCCCAAGAGGTCCCCAAGGAGGAACCGGGGTCTTGGGCCCAGGGCTTGGGATCCCCTAAGAGCTCCCCAAGAAGGAACCTGGTCTTGGGATCCCCAAGGAGGAACCTGTGTCTTGGTGTCCCCAAAGGTCTCCCCAGGGAGGAACCCAGGGCTTGGGATCCCCCAAGATCTCCCCAAGGAGAAACCGGGGTCTTGGGATGCCCCAAGAGGTCCCCAAGGAGGAACCGGGGTCTTGGGATGCCCCAAGAGATCCCCAAGGAGGAACCAGGGTCTTGGTGTCCCCAAACATCTCCCCAAGGAGGAACTGGGGTCTTGGGATGCCCCAAGAGCTTCCCAAGGAGGAACCCAGGGCTTGGGATTCCCCAAGAGCTCCCCAAGGAGGAACCAGGGTCTCGGGATCCCCCAGGAGCTCCCCAAGGAGGAACCGGGGTCTTGGTGTCCCCAAAAATCTCCCCAAGGAGGAACCCAGGGCTTGGGATCCCCCAAGATCTCCCCAAGGAGGAACTGGGGTCTTCGGATCCCCCAAGAGCTTCCCAAGGAGGAACCAGGGTCTTGGAATCCCCATGGAGGAACCAGGGTCTTGGTGTCCCCAATCGTCTCCCCAGGGAGGAACCCAGGGCTTGGGATTCCCCAAGAGGTCCCCAAGGAGGAACTGGGGTCTTGGGATCCCTGAAGAGCTCCCCAAGGAGGAACCTGGTCTTGGGATCCCCAAGGAGGAACCTGCGTCTTGGTGTCCCCAGATGTCCCAAGGAGGAACTCAGGGCTTGGGATCCCCCAAGATCCCCAAGGAGGAACCCAGATCTTGGTATCTCCCTAGGAGGAACCCAGGTCCCAACATCTCCAAATATCTCTAGGAGGCCCCCAGGTCCCCATGAGCCAACCCAGGTGTCCCAGTCACCCTCCTACCCACAGCACCCAACCACTCATGCTCTTGGTGACCCTCCCAGAACCTCCTCCAGAGGAGGGCCCAGGCGTCCGGGCGCTACCTTGCTCAGCTGGGACATGACCTCCCAGAGCAGCGCGTGCAGCGTGGAGAGCTCGCGGCCCAGGTCGATGTAGCCCTCGAAGCTGGTGCTGTTGGTCAGGGTGTCCAGGTTGGAGATCTCGTAGAGGAACTGCTGCATGCTGGCCCACTCCAGCTCCAGGAACTCGTTCATGAAGGCCATGTACTCCTCCTTGCTGCCGAACCTGTGCGCAGGTCCCCCCGGCTCTCCAGTCAGCGTTCTCCTGGCCATCCAGCTTCTACCCATCCAACCGTCACCCCATCCCTCCGTCCATTCCCTCCCATCCATCCATCTCCATCTTCTGTCCATCTTCCATCAGCTCATCCACCCATCCGGTCAGCCAGCCACCAACTCACCTCTCTACCCTCACCATCTTCCAGGAACTTATGCATCTTCTGTCCATCCATCCACCCACCCACCCATCCACCCATCCATCCATCACCTCATCCATCTTCTGTCCACCTCCCATCCATCCATTTTCCATCCGTCACCTCATCCCCCCGTCCATCTCCCTCCCATCCATCTTCCATCCATCCATCCATCCATCCATCCCCATCTTCTGTCCATCTTCCATCTGCTCATCCACCCGTCCAGCCATCAACTCATCCATCCACTCATCTGTCCACCCATCCACCCATCAGTTCCTCCATCTTCCATCCACACATCCATCCATCCATCTACGCATCCATCTTCTACCCATCCATCCCTCCATCTCCTGTCCCTCACCTCCTCCATCTTCCACCCATCTTCCATCCAATCATCCATCCATCCATCTACCACCCATCCATCTCTCACCCATCCATCGCTAAATCTCCTGTCCCTCACCTCCTCCATCTTCCACCGATCTTCCATCCATCCATCCGTCCATCCATCCATCCATCCACCCATCCATCCACACGTCCATCCATCCACCTCCCACCTATCCACCCATCAATTCCTCCATCCATCCATCCATCCATCTACCCATCCATCTTCCACCCATTCCCCCCTCCATCTACTGTCCCTCACCTCCTCCATCTTCCACCCATCTTCCATCCAATCATCCATCCATCCATCCATCCATCCATCAGATCTTCCATCTTCCATCCATCCATCCACCCATCCACCCATCCACTCATCTTCCATCCATCCATCCATCCATCCATCCATCCATCCATCTCCCATCCATCCATCCACCCATCCACCCATCCACTCATCTTCCATCCATCCATCCATCCATCCATCCATCCACCCATCCATCTCCTGTCCCTCAACTCCTCCATCTTCCACCCGTCTTCTATCCATCCACCCATCAGATCCTCCATCTTCCATCTATCCACCCATCCACTCACCTTCCACCCACCCATCTTCCACCCATCCATCTCCAACCCATCATCTCCCACCCACCAGACACCCACCGTCCCCTCCGCCGCCCCCGTCCCCGCTGCGCCCTCACTTGGTGAAGTTGGCCAGGTTCTGGATGACCTTGGCGATGAGGGTGAGGGTGCGGGCGGTCTGCTCGTCGGGGTACTCCTGCATGAGGCCGAAGAGGCTCGGGGACATCACGGCGGGACACAGGAAGCGCAGGAAGAGCGACGCGCTGATGAGGCGGTCGGCGATGTCCTCGCGGCCCCGCTCGGCGCAGCGCAGCCGCCACGAGGCGAAGACCTCCTTGAGCTCCCGCGGGAACACGCTGCGCCGGGGAGGGACGCGTGTCCTCGGGGGGACCTCGGCGGCCTCCCGGGGTTGTCACCGGCGCGGTGTCCCCAACGGGGCGCTCACCAGTGCGAGTTGACCACCTTGCAGAGCGCCAGCTCGCAGCACATGCGCAGGTTGGCCTGGTGGTCGGCCAAGGTGGAGGCCGAGCACTTCATGGGGTCGACCTCGCAGTTCTCCTCCGACTCGTAGAGCGCCCGGATGAACTCGCCTGCGCGGGGACAGCGGGGGGCCCTGAGCGGCCAGGGGGACCTCCCACGTGGCCGGGCCACCGCGCTGGGGACACGGCCGTCGTTGGGGACCACCCAACTGTCCCATCGCCAGACGTCCCCGTTGGGGACCACCATGATTGGGGACCACCCAACTGTCCCATCGCCAGACGTCCCCGTTGGGGACCACCATGATTGGGGACCACCCAACTGTCCCATCGCCAGACGTCCCCGTTGGGGACCACCATGATTGGGGACCACCCAACTGTCCCATCGCCAGACGTCCCCGTTGGGGACCACCATGATTGGGGACCACCCAACTGTCCCATCGCCAGACGTCCCCGTTGGGGACCACCATGATTGGGGACCACCCAACTGTCCCATCGCCAGACGTCCCCGTTGGGGACCACCATGATTGGGGACCACCCAACTGTCCCATCGCCAGACGTCCCCGTTGGGGACCACCATGATTGGGGACCACCCAACTGTCCCATCGCCAGACGTCCCCGTTGGGGACCACCATGATTGGGGACCACCCAACTGTCCCATCGCCAGACGTCCCCGTTGGGGACCACCATGATTGGGGACCACCCAACTGTCCCATCGCCAGACGTCCCCGTTGGGGACCACCATGATTGGGGACCACCCAACTGTCCCATGGCCAGACCTCCCCATTGGGGACCACCATGATTAGGGACCACCCAACTGTCCCATGATCAGGTCTCCTCATTGGACACATGGCCACAAGTGGGGACCACCCAAGTGTCCCATGGCCAGGCCACCCCATTGGGGACCACCAACTGTCCCCTGATCAGCTCTCCCCATTGGACACACCACCATGAGTGGAGACCAACCAAGCAATGGGGTGGCCAGGCCATCAAACCAAGCCACTGTACTGGGGACTTGGTCACAAGTAGAGGCCACCCAACCACCTCCTGCCCAGACCACCAGCAGGAACCACCCAACCGCGAGGTGCCACCTCGCTGGGGACACCGCCACGGGTGGGGACCACGCGAGGGTGGCAGGGCCACCCCCATGCCGCTCACCGATGGCGTCCTTGAGGTATTTCTGGCCGATGAGCTTCAGGTACTCCTCTATGGCTTTGGTGGCGAGGGTGTTCTCCCGGAAGATCAGGTGCTCCCGGTCCATGAACCGATCCACCTCCGTCATGGCCATGTCCGACAGGAAATCCTGCCCGCCCGGCCGTCATCCCTCCAGCCTCCACCCACCCGGCCTCCCTCCTCTGAGCATCTCCTATCCGTCCATCCTCCCATCCGCCTTCCATCTATTGGTGTCCTCCATCTGTCCATCCATCCATCCATCCATCCATCCATCCATCCATCCATCCTCCATGAGTCCCATCTCCTGTGCTTCCATGCAGCCTCCATCTGTCCTTCCATCTCCATCCTCCACCTTTCCATTTCCATCCTCCATCCATCCATCCATCCCTCCATCTCCATCTCTTCTTCCATCTCCATCCTCTACCTTTCTTCCTCCATCCGTCCATCCATCCATCCTCCATGAGTCCCATCTCCTGTGCTTCCATGCAGCCTCCATCTGTCCTTCCATCTCCATCCTCTACCTTTCTTCCTCCATCCGTCCATCCATCCATCCTCCATGAGTCCCATCTCCTGTGCTTCCATGCAGCCTCCATCTGTCCTTCCATCTCCATCCTCTACCTTTCCTCCTCTGTCCATCCACCCTCCATCTCTCCATCCATCTCCATCCATCTCCTTTCATCTCCATCCATCCCTCCATCTCCATCCTCTAATTTTCCTCCTCTACCCATTCTCTATCTCTCCATTCATCTCCATCCACCTCCACCCATCCTTCCATCTCCATCCTCTACCTTTCTTCCTCCATGTGTCCATCCATCCATCTCCATCCAGCTTCTTCCATCTCCACCCATCCTTCTACCTCCATCCTCTACATTCCCACCTCCATCCATGCATCCTCCATCTCTCCTTCCATCTCCATCCATCCCCATCCAGCTCTATCCAGCTCCTTCCATTTCCACCCATCCTTCCACCTCCATCCTCTACCTTATTTCTGCATCTGTCCATCCATCCTCCATTCATCCATCCATCTCCATCCAGCTCCTTCTATCTCCACACATCCTTCCACCTCCATCCTCTACCTTTCTTCCTCCATCTGTCCATCCACTCTCCGTTCTCCATCCATCTCCATCTCTCCTTCCATCCCCACCCATCCATCCTTCCTCCGGCTCTCCCCGCCGCGCACCTTGGCCTTGCCGGTGCTCTGCAGGATGTGCACGAGCGCGCACGCCACCTCCTCCTTGCTCTTCACGCTCAGCACGGGCTCCAGCACGGCACACAGCATGTGCCCTGCACCTCCATCCTCTACCTTTCCTCCTCCATCCATCCTCCATCCATCTCCATCCGTCTCCTTCCATCTCCACCCATCCTTCCATCTCCATCCTCTACCTTTCCTCCTCCATCCATCCTCCCTTTCTCCTTCCATCTCCATCCATCTTCATCCATCTCCATCCACCTCCTTCCATCTTCACCCATCCTTCCATCTCCACCCTCTACTTTTTCTCCTCCATCCATCCTCCATCTCTCCACTCATCTCCATCCTTCTCCATCCCTCTTCTTCCATCTCCACCCATCCTTCCATCTCCGTCCTCTACCTTTCCTTCTCCGTCCATCCACCCTTTATCCCTCCATCCATCTCCATCCATCTTCTTCCACCTCCACCCATTCTTCAACCTCCATCCTCTACTTTTCCTCCACCATCCATCCGCCCTCCATCTCTCCTTCCATCTCCATCCATCCTTCCATCTCCATCCTCTACCTTTCTTCCTCCATCTGTCCATCCACCCTCCATCCTCCATCCATCTCCATCTCCATCCATCTCCATCCCCATCCCTCCTTCCTCCGGCTCTCCCCGCCGCGCACCTTGGCCTTGCCGGTGCTCTGCAGGATGTGCACGAGCGCGCACGCCACTTCCTCCTTGCTCTTCACGCTCAGCACGGGCTCCAGCACGGCGCACAACATGCGGTAGTTGTTGGTCACGTACTCGGCGAACTCCTTGTAGAGCTCCATGGGCAGGATGCTCATGGTCTGGAAGCGGCTCTTGACCCGCAGCGCCGGACACCCGGCCTTGCTCTTCCCGCCGCCCGGTTGACTCAACGGGTACCACTGCTCGGCGAAGTGGCGCCCGGTGACGCTGGCGATGGGGATGCTCACCATGCCCACGTAGTTGCTCTTGTCCTTCTTGCGCTTCTTGTCCGTGTCCTTGTAGAGGTGCAGGCGGATGGCGCGCACGGCCGGGAGGTTGTTGAACTCGAAGTGCTCGCCCCAGAAGACGGTGTCGGCGCGCGCCTTGCTGGTGGTGCGCGCGTACAGGATGTCGTCCAGGCACAGCTCGCAGTAGTAGCGCTTCTTGGGGGGCAGGTCGCGCGCCTCGATCACCCACAGCTTGAGCACGTTGTCCACCCGGCGGCTGTTGTCCTGCGGCGGGCGGGTGGTGACGGCACCGGGGGCTGAGGATGGAGAGAGATGGAAATGGAGGGAGATGAGGATGGAGATGGAGAGGGTTGAGAATGGAGAAGGTTGAGGATGGAGGTGGTTGAGGATGGAGGGAGATGGGGATGGAGAGGGTTGAGGATGGAGGGAGATGGGGATGGAGAGAGATGTGGATGGAAGCGGTTGAGGTTGGAGGAGGTTGAGGATGGAAGTGGTTGAGGATGGAGGTAGTTGAGGATGGAGGAGGTTAAGGATGGAGGGAGATGGGGATGGAGGGAGATGAAGATGTAGAGGGTTGAGGATGGAGAGGGTTGAGGATGGAGGGGGTTGAGGATGGAGGGGGTGGTGGCACCTGGACATGGTGGCACTTGGGAATGGAGGTGGCCAAGGATGGGGATGGATGGGGACATCTCGGGGTGGGGACACAAGGGCATGGGGACATCCGGGGATGGGGACATGTGGGGATGGAGGTGGCGGGGGTTGGCAGTGACCAGTGATGGTGGCACCTGGAGATGGGGACATGTAGGGGTGGGGACATCTGGGGATGGAGGCAGCTGGGGGTGGTGGCATCTGGAGATGGTGGTGACCAAACATGGGGACATCTGGGCATGGGGATATGTGGGGATGGAGATGGCTGGGGATGGAGATACCTGGGGGTGGCGGTGACTAGGGATGGTAGCACGTGGGGACAGGGACATGCAGGGATGGGGACATGTGGGGATGGTGGCACGTGGGGATGGTGGCACGTGGGGATGGGGACATGCACGGATGGGGACATGCGGGGATGGGGACATGCGGGGGTGGTGGTACCTGCAGATGGGGGTGGCCACAGATGGAGACACCTGGGGATGGAGACGCCTGAGGGTGGTGGCACCTGGGGACGGGGACAGCTGAGGACAGAGATGGATGGGGACAGCTGGGGGTGGGGACATCTGGGGATGCAGATGGCTGAGGATGGGGACAGCTGGGGATGGGGGTAGCTGGAGATGGGGACACCTGGGGATGAGGGTGGCCAGAGATGGAGACACCTGGGGACAGGGACACCTGGGGGTGGGGACACCTGGGGATGGAGGCGGCCAAGGATGGGGACATCTGGGGATGGTGGCACCTGGGCATGGTGGTGGCCAGGGGTGGGGACACCTGGGGATGGGGACACCTGGGGGAGTGACCCCGGCTAAGGGACAATATCCCAAGGGACGGTGACACCAAGGGATTGTGGTAGCAAAGAGCATCCCTGCAGATGGTGACACCAAGGGACGGTGACACCAAGGGACGGTGACACCAAGGAACATCCCCAGGGAATGGTGACACCAAGGGGTGGTGACACCAAGGGGTGGTGACACCACGAGATGGTGAGGTCATCGCCAAGGACTGTGACACCAACACACGGTGACACCAAAGAACATCCACGTGGATGGTGGCACCAAGCGGTGGTGGCACCAAGGGACCGTGACACCAAACGTCATGGGGGACACCGGCTCCATGGGCCAACGACACCACCCGACGGGGCCTTTAGGTGAGAGTGACCCCGGGGCGGGTGACACGCTTGGGGACGCGCCACCGCCACGGCCACCCCCGCACCTTGTTGGGCTTCACCGCCCGCTGCAGGTTCTCGATCCACTTGTCACGTTCAGCAGCCGAGCGGCAGGCGAAGCACTTGGTGCCCGACGCCGTTGTCACCTGCGGGGGACAACCGAGGTGCCACCAGGACCCCCCGGTGACAGCGGGAGGGTCAAGGAGGGGGGGGGACACGTGTTTTGGGGTCTCCTTATGGTTGGAAAAGACCTTTGAGCTCATGGAGTCCAACCGGGAGCCCCTCAGCGCCCTCCTGCTGCTCCCTGTCCCCAGGTGGCCTCAACACATGGGTCTGGGGACACCGCAAGGGACGGGGACGTCCCCGGGCAGCCTCTGCTTGGGCCGCTCCTCCCATGGAGAAATTATCCCTAAATTCCAACCGGAGCCTCCCTTGGAGCAACCTGGGGCCGTTTCCGCTTGTTCTCCTGGGAATCACCCTGGAGAGGAGCCCGACTTGGGCACCCACCACCCACCGGACCCCCTGCACGGAGTCACAGAGAGTGACAGGGCCCAAGGGTTCAATGTCCTTCTCGTGGCGAGGGGACCCAAGCGGCGAGGCCAGGGGGACGGTCCCTTCCCTGCTCCTGCCGGGCATGTTATTCCCAAAACATGGAATTCCGGGCACAGCGGCCTCCTGCTCACGCGACCTGCGTCCAACGGGGTGTCGACCAATGGACTGACCAACTAAACAACTGACCAACTGATTGACCAACCAACTGACCGACCAACCAACCAATCATCCAACCAACCAACCAACCGACCAATCATCCAACCGAACAACCAAGCCATGAACCAACCAGAGAACCAACTGACCAACCAACCAATCGACTGACTGACTAATCAACCAACCAATCAAACAACTGACCAACTGACCAATCAATAAACAGACCAACCAACCAACCATCCAACCAATCAACCAACCAACCAATCATCCATCCAACCAACCTACCTACCAACCAACCCACCAACAATCCAAACATCCAATCATCCAACCAACCAACCAACCGTCCAACCAAACATTCAATCAACCAACCAACCAATCGACCAACCAATCAACCAACCATCCGAAAAACCATCCAAACAATCATCCAACCAACCATCCAACCAGCCAACCAACCCACCAACCACAATCATCCAACCAACCAACCAACCATCCAACCCTGTCCAACCAACCAACCATCCAATCATGCAACCAACCAATCCTCCAACCAACCAACCAACTACCCAATCATGCAACCAACCAACCATTCAACCAGTTATCCAACCAACCATTCAATCAACCAGCCAACCCACCAACCAGCCAACCACCCAATCAACCAACCAACCAAACAACGAACCATCCAATCATGCAACCAAACAACCTACCAACCATCCAACCAACCAATGAACCATCCAACCAACCAACCATCCAATCATCCAACCAACCAACCAACCAAACAGACAGCCAATCATTCAACCAATCATCCAACCAACCATCCAATCAACCACCAGCCAACCAACCACCCAACCAACTAACCCACCAACCAACCAACCAATCATTCCACCAACCAACCATCCAACCAATCATCCAACCAACCAACCATCCAACCAATCATCCAACCATTCAATCAACCACCAGCCAACCGACCAGCCAACCAACCATCCAATCATCCAACCAACCAACCAACCATCCAACCAACCATTCAATCAACCATCAGCCAACCAACCAGCCAACCAACATCCACTCATCCCACCAACCAACCATTCAACCAATCATCCATCCAACCAACCAACCAACCATCCAATCATCCAACCAACGAACCAACCATCCAACCAACCATCTAACCAATCATCCAATCAATGATTCAATCAACCATCCAACCAACCAACCAATCATCCAATCATCCCACCAACCAACCATCCAACCAATCAACCAACCAACCATCCAATCATCCAACCAACCAACTAACCACCCAACCAATCATCTAATCAATCATCCAACCCACCAACCAACCAACCATCCAATCATCCAACCAACCAACCAACCAACCAACCATCTAACCAATCATTTAACCAACCATTCAATCAACCATCCAACTCACCAACCAACCAACCCACCAACCAACCAGCCAACCAACCATCCAACCAACCAACCAACCATCCAATCATTCAACCAACCAACCAACCAACCAACCATCCAACCAACCATCTAACCAATCATCCAATCAATGATTCAATCAACCATCCAACCAACCAACCAATCATCCAATCATCCCACCAACCAACCATCCAACCAATCATCCAACCAACCAACCATCCAACCAATCATCCAACCATTCAATCAACCACCAGACAAACCACCACCAACCATCCAATCATCCACCCATCCAACCATCATCCAACCAACCATCCAACCAACCATCTAACCAACCAACCAACCATCCAACCAACCAACCATCCAACTAATCATTCAACCAACCGACAATCCGGGGATCCAGGGACCTCCATGACCATCCATCCACATCCAACCAACCACCCATCCAACCATCCATCCAACCATCCAACCATCCATCCAACCATCCAACCATCCATCCAACCATCCAACCATCCATCCAACCATCCAACCATCCATCCAACCATCCAACCATCCATCTAACCATCCAACCACCCATCCAACCATCCAACCATCCATCCAACCATCCAACCATCCACCCCTTCTGCTCCTCCTCTCCGCCACGGCCCTGCCTGCCTGAAGGGGCCCCGACGGGCACCAAAGGGACCCGGTGGGGACACAGCGGAGCGGGTGGCACCTCGAAGCAGAACTCCTGGCCCAGGATGCTGCTGTGCACGGCCTTGATGACCGAGTCCTCGTCCAGGTTGAGCTCCAGGGCCTCGGCGGCGCTGCTGGGGCTCAGCAGCGACTCGTGCGAGTGGGACTCCTTGAAGCTCTGCATGAGGCGGGCCCTGGGGACACGGGGACACGGGGACAACACTGGGGACAGGGTGGTAGTGACACTAGGGACACAGTGGTGGTGATGCTGGGGACATGGCCGTGACGCCAGGGACATGGTGGTGGTGGCAACGCCGGGGACGCGGTGACACTTGGAACGTGGTGGTGGTGGTGCCACTGGGGACACGGTGAAGGTGACACTGGGGACACGGTGGCGGTGACACCGGGGACACAGTGGTGATGCCAGGAACACAGTGGTGGTGACATCAGAGACATAGTGGTGGCATCAGGGACATGGTGGTGGTGACACTTGGGACATAGTGATGACATTGGGGACACGGTGGGGGTGACACCAGGGACATGGAGGTGACATCAGGGACACAGTGGTGACATCGGGGACACGGTGGAGGTGACACCAGGGACATGGAGCTGACATCAGGGACACAGTGGTGACATCAGGGACATGGTGGAGGTGACACCAGGGACACGGTGGTGACATCGGGGACACGGCGGGGGTGACACCAGGGACACGGTGGTGACATCGGGGACACGGCGGTGACATTGGGGACACGGCGGAGGTGACACCAGGGACACGGTGGTGACATCGGGGACACGGCGGTGACATTGGGGACACGGCGGAGGTGACACCAGGGACACGGTGGTGACATCGGGGACACGGCGGTGACATTGGGGACACGGCGGAGGTGACACCAGGGACACGGTGGTGACATCGGGGACACGGCGGTGACATTGGGGACACGGCGGAGGTGACACCAGGGACACGGTGGTGACATCGGGGACACGGCGGTGACATTGGGGACACGGCGGAGGTGACACCAGGGACACGGTGGTGACATCGGGGACACGGCGGTGACATTGGGGACACGGCGGAGGTGACACCAGGGACACGGTGGTGACATCGGGGACACGGCGGTGACATTGGGGACACGGCGGAGGTGACACCAGGGACACGGTGGTGACATCGGGGACACGGCGGTGACATTGGGGACACGGCGGAGGTGACACCAGGGACACGGTGGTGACATCGGGGACACGGCGGTGACATTGGGGACACGGCGGAGGTGACACCAGGGACACGGTGGTGACATCGGGGACACGGCGGTGACATTGGGGACACGGCGGAGGTGACACCAGGGACACGGTGGTGACATCGGGGACACGGCGGTGACATTGGGGACACGGCGGAGGTGACACCAGGGACACGGTGGTGACATCGGGGACACGGCGGTGACATTGGGGACACGGCGGAGGTGACACCAGGGACACGGTGGTGACATCGGGGACACGGCGGTGACATTGGGGACACGGCGGAGGTGACACCAGGGACACGGTGGTGACATCGGGGACACGGCGGTGACATTGGGGACACGGCGGAGGTGACACCAGGGACACGGTGGTGACATCGGGGACACGGCGGTGACATTGGGGACACGGCGGAGGTGACACCAGGGACACGGTGGTGACATCGGGGACACGGCGGTGACATTGGGGACACGGCGGAGGTGACACCAGGGACACGGTGGTGACATCGGGGACACGGACCAGGGACATTATGGAGATAGGGACAAAGGACCCCTCAGGGGACACTTCGGGGACAGGGGACATGATGGGGATGGGGACAAGGGACCTCCCAGGGGACACCTTGGGGACAAGGGACATGATGGGGATGGGGACACCTTGGGGACCAGGGACATTATGGAGACAGGGACAAGGGACACCCCAGGGGACACTTTGGGGACAGGGGACATCATGGGGACAAGGGACAAAGAACCCGCCCTCCAGGAGACACCTTGGGGACAGGGGACAAGGGACATTATGGGGATGGGGACAAGGGACCCCCTAGGGGACACTTTGGAGACAGGGGACAGGGGATGGAGACAAGGGACCTCCCAGGGGACACCTTGGGGAAGGGGGACAAGGGGCCACCATGTGGGACAAGGGACCTCCCTTAGGGGACAAGGGACTTCCATGAGGGACAGGGAACCTCCACTGGGGACAAGGGACCTCTATGGGGGACAAGGGACCTCCACGGGGACAAAGGACCTCTCTTGGTGACAAGGGACGTCCCTTGGGGGACAAGGGACCTCCATGGGGAGAAGGGACCTCCCTTGGGGACAAGGGACCTTCACAGGGGACAAGGATCCTCCCTTGGGGACAAGGGACCTCCATGGGGGACAGGGAACCTCTACTGGGGACAAGGGACCTTCCATGGGGGACAAGGATCCTCCCTTGAGGACAAGAGACGTCCATGGGGACAAAAAACCTCCATGAGGGACAAGGGACCTTCCATGGGGGACAAGGATCCTCCCTTGGGGACAAGGGACCTCCATGGGGGACAGGGAACCTCTACTGGGGACAAGGGACCTTCCATGGGGGACAAGGATCCTCCCTTGAGGACAAGAGACGTCCATGGGGACAAAAAACCTCCATGAGGGACAAGGGACCTTCCATGGGGACAAGGGATCTCCCCTGGGGACAAGGGGCCTCTCTTGGGAGACAGGGAACCTCTACTGGGGCCAAGGGACGTCCATGGGGACAAGGGACCTTCATGGGGACAAGGATCCTCCCTTGGGGACAAGGGACCTCCATGAGGGACAAGAGACGTCCATGGGGACAAGGGACATCCATGGGGGACAAGGGACATCCATGGGGGACAGGGGACCTCCATGAGGGTCCATCCCCAGGGGACACAGCGGGGACAGGGACCAGCCCCGGCCACGGGGACAAGGTGCCATAATGTCCCAGGTGACAGTGACAGTGACAGCGGCAGCTGAAAACGGTGTCACCACCTGTCACCTGCTACTCAAGGGGGACACGGGGACCTTCCCATGGGGACAAGGACCTGCTCTGCGGGTGACGGGGACTGTCCCCACCACCCCCTGCCTCCATGTCCCCAAGGAGGGTGGCCCCAAGCCCTGGTGTCCCCATGTCCCGCACACACGTGTCCCCATGGCCCCAGTGTCCCCATGTCCCTGGTGTCCCCAATATCCCCAATGTTCCCAACATCCCAATGTCCCCAGTGTCCCCGAAGTCCCCAACGTCCCCAATGCCTCAAAGTCCCCAATGTCCCCAACATCCCCAATGTCCCAAATGTCTCTGAAGTCCCCAACTCCCCCAGTGTCCCCAACGCCCCCAGTGTCCCCAATGCTCACGATGTCCCTAAAGTCCCCAATGTCCCCAGCATCCCCAATGTCTCCAATATCCTCAGTGCCCCCCATGGTCTCAAGGTCTCCAATGTCCCCATTGTCCCCAATGTCCTTGATGTCCCCGATGTCCCGGCTGTCCCTGATATCCCCGTCATGCCCAGTGTCCCCACTGTCCTCAATGTCCCCACTGTCCCCAATGTCCCCACTGTCCCCTATGTCCCCGTCACGCCCAATGTCTCCAACATGCCCAATGTCCCCATTGTTCCCCATTGTTCCCGCTGTCCCCGTCACGCCCAACGTCCCCACTGTCCCCAATGTCCCCACTGTCCCCAATGCCCCCGATGTCCCCAACATGCCCAATGTCCCCACTGTCCCCAATGTCCCCACTGTCCCCTATCTCCCCATCATGCCCAATGTCTCCAACATGCCCAATGTCCCCACTGTTCCCACTGTCCCCACTGTCCCAAACATGCCCACTGTCCCCAATGTCCCCACTGTCCCC